TTGGTTTTAATTGGAAACTGTCTCTTTAAATTTCGAGGAGATCTGTGCGTATGCGTAATAGAACCCTCCGAGGGTGGGGCTGGGGTGCCCACTAGCTCAGGCACCCCTATAGTCACCAGAATGGAGGTGCGCAGACAGCGAGGGACTAATGAACAGATACCAAAAGAAAAGAAAGTCCACACCTTTATCTCAGTGGTTCTGCCAAGTGTCTGTGGCCACTCCGATCCTTTCCCCACGTGGTCTCACCCAAGATGGCGGCTCCTGGAACAACTGAGCGTTCTGGACTAGAAAGTAATAGATTTCTTGCTTCTGCCACAAATTCCCCCAGCTGTGAGCCTTCCATCCTTCTAAGTATTCCTTTATATGTGGTTCAGAGTTCTGGGACCATCCCCTGAGCCTGCTTGGTCGGGTATTCTGTGTTGTTGTTGGCGGAGCTCTCTGCTATATGTCCACCTGATCCGGCATCTTGTTTGTTCCTTTAATGGTATTCTTTTCATCCTGCAAGTCTGTTAAATTCCACTATGAGAAGCTGAACTACATTGATTTACTTGTCTTAGCCATTCATGGAAGGCAGACGCAAAATAAGCAACCACATTCTTTCAGTTCTGCAATGCAGATTCAGGGATATTGTGTACAAATGTGGCAGCTTGAGGGCTGTATATACCTGAAGTTGACTGGATTGTTGAATATAACCTTAAGGAGTCTATTCATGGTGTGGGCAGAACAGCCAGAGGCCTCCATGAAGAGGGCATGTCTAGTTCATTTTGCACCCTGAAGAATTAGGTTTCCTTCCTTAATTGAACCAATCCAAGGCTCCTTTAAGTGAATTTGAGTTTTCCTGGTCCAAAACTTCTGATATTCAGTCTCAGCTTGAAAAACTGATTGAAAAGAACTACTTCCTTCATAAGTCAGCCCAGGAAGTCTATCAATCATTTATTAGAATATATAATTCTCATTCTCTGAAACAAATCTTTAACGGTAATAATTTATGTTTACTTCAAGTCGCTCTATCATTTGGTTTCAAGGTGCCTCCTTTTATTGATCTCAGCGTGAACAGCAATGAAGGCAAACATAAAAAGCAAGGAGGAAGGTGGTGGATTCGGCTACCAGAAAGCCAAAAAGGTCGAAAAATCCAAAATCTTTAAAAACATTAGCAAGAAAACCTCTGACGGCAGGCAATTCTCATATTGAAGACACAGTTTCCTTCATCTTAATAACTGTCCCCAAATGGATTTTCTTCCCCTGCTCTGACAGGGAAATGTAGGCGCCTTCAGGATCTGGGTTGATTTATTGAGTTTAAATTGACTTGGACTCATAAGGACTGAGGACTGTAACAGCAAATATTTTCTTATTGGAGGGGGAGAAGTGTAATAGTTCAATTTTTATTGGTTGCCCAAGGGCAAAACAGAAAAATATTTTTGGTCTTTGTTGTGATGATAAAGTAATTTTAAATATTTGTCCCTTAAATATTAACTATAAAATAGTTAGGTTATAGCAACTCAAAGCCACGAAGTTGTTGGCATAATTTTCTTGTGTGCCAGTAAATATTTCTGTAGAGTCCTGTTAAGTTTTTATCGTGATGAGAGCATCAGATATTGAGAAAGTAGGCTGATAAATATAGAGAACACTGTTGCACGTTTGGGCCTGGCTGCTGGGCCTGTCTGGCCTGTTCTGGATTTCAGATTTTGACTGCTGGGTTCCTCCTTTGGCTTCCTGGGGTCCACATTCTGGGCATTTCATAACTCTGTTTTTGTTTCTGAAATAATCATATTTCCAAAAATATACAAAGTCAAAGGAAAAAATATTTAATCACTGAGCAGAAATAAATACTGTTGATATTTTGGTATATAACCTAGCTTTTTCTGTGCATCTTCATATTTAAAAAAAAAAAAAATTTTAATCAAAAGTGAAGTTATCCAAAAAGTAACCATTTTGTATCATAACTTGTTATGCTCAT